GGGGGGTGGGTGGGGGGGTGGGTGTGGGTGTGGGTGTGGGGGTGGGTGTGGGTGTGGGTGTGGGTGTGGGTGTGGGTGCGGGTGTAGGTGTGGGTGTGGGTGTGGGTGTGGATATGGGATTTAATGAAGCATATTCAACAACACCCACACCCACACCCACCAAGAGAACTCGGTGAAATTTTTACTGGTATGAGACCTCAATGGTCTTCACTTATGGTGAAATTTTCATAGAGTTTGCTGTTGCTGTGATGGAGATGTACACATTGCAATATAGAAAAATGAAATTCCGTAACGCTGGTTTTACCCAGCATATTTGATCGGTCACGTTTACCTTAGTATCATCTTTCACGTTGTAATAAAAAAAATGAAAGATGAACAGCTTTTTCTCTAATAAGTACTAGTTGAAGTGATTTGAATAAGATCGATACCTGTTTGCCATTTTGTATTCAATACTTTGCATGATGAGATAAAATGTTTTAGAGCAAACAGAAAACAAAATGAAACTGTAAGCTGTTGACAATAATATTTTTCACTACTACGATTAGTTTTTGCTGCTTTTCTTTAAGTGGCATTTTTGTGTTGAAAGTTTTTCGATTTGCTCGATCTTTTCGTCTTCTTGGTGATACTCTTCAACATATTGTTATAAAGTCTTTTTTTTTTATTTATGTCCATTACTTTTCTGCTTCTCTTGAGGGTGTGGGCGTGGGGTGTGGGTGCTACCATTATAGATTAACACCCACACCCACACCCACACTCTCAATATAGTTTTTCTTTTTAAAGTCATACGGAGGGCGGTAAGTCCTCCATTGATTTGTTTTATGTTTTGTTTTTTTTCTTTTAGGTCGAGATGGATAAATTAAAGTAAGCAGAAATTTTTTTGATATATTTTTTTTAATTTCAGGTAGTGGAAAGTCGATGGGAGAGATAACAGTGGGGTAAGTTATTCTCTTCTTTTCTAAACATATATGTTTAAATAAATTTTTCTCTTTTCCTTTTAGCTTATCATCGCGTCGCGTCATAACAACATCGTCGTCCAACATGAAAACACGTGAGTAATTGTTTTTTTGAGATAAGAATAGGGAGGAGAGCAGATGAGAATAGATAGTGATATTGAGATTGAGGGGTTAGGGTGAGACTAAGCAAAGTTAGTATTAATGGAGGGAGTGAGTCATATCCATTGAGGTTAGATCCCTGTTATCTTTCAGGGCTTCCAGCTAGGCCCTAAAAACTCGGCCAGGAACTATCGTAGTGCCTGTGGCACACGACCCGTCTCTCCTCAGACTCATTGACACATCTCTCGAGTGGGAGGGATGTGAATGATTTGAGTCTGTCCCGTGCGTGCATGAGCGTTACGCTCGCCACGACTCCACCAGGATGGTTCCTCGTCGCGCGCACGAATAGAATATCCATTCCTTTCATCAATTCAACGTGATTTATTTGAGTGAAAGAAAAGAAAAAAAATAATCCATCGCAATGAGTCTATTTGTTTGAAAAACGTTGAACACGATTATTCCGGAGATCGGAGACATAGAGATTGCCATGTCGATCGAAGGACAAACCTTCGAGACCGTTCAACTGGTTTGCTCCCGTTCCTTGACCATTTCCACCCGCAATGACAGTGCCCTGTTTCGCTCCTTTAGGCCAAAGCATCACTCGATTATTTCCCGAATCTGCCACACAGATGGTACCCAACGTATCGACGAACAGTCCTTGAGGATACGACAATTGTGTCAGAGCATCCCCTTGGCCTTGACCCCCAGCGATGACAATTCCTTCTTTTGCACCTTTATTCCATTTCATCACACGATGATTACGGTAGTCTGACACGTAGACAGTCTGTTGTCGATCGACAAAGATGTAGCCCGGACTATTGAGTTGATTGAGATCAGCACCATTACCATGGCCACCGGCCACGAGAGTTCCATTCTTGTCTCCTATTTGATATCGTCTTACTTCATCGTTCGGGTAGTCAGATACGTAGAGATATCTCTGATCATCCATGGCCAATCCATAACAATTGACGTTGTCGATGAGGATTTCTCCTTGAGTTGTGCCACTATAACGAGACCATTGTACGACGCGTTGATTCCCTAGATCACAAATAATGAGACTATCATTCTCTTTGCCGATCAATACATCGGTTGGATAATTCAATTGATCCAATTGATTTCCTGGGCCATGGCCACCAGCTACTACTTGTCCATTCGTATCATCCATCTTCCATTGACTGATACGATGATTCTCCCACTCAGCGATGACCATCGTTTGATCATCATAAACGAAGAGACCATTAGGATACCAGAGTTGATTGGTGGTATCGCCTGCTCCATGGCCTCCAGCAACAGTCACTCCATTCTGTACCCATCGGGCATCGACAGGAATATTGGGAATCCCTACAATGAACGAGAAAAAGAAAAGGAATCGTCGTTTTTGAAGAGATCCCATCTCTCTATCGTGAGGGAAAGTGTTACAAATGAGATCGAATAACAACCGAAAGAAAACAAAATATACGTATATATAAATATACGATAGAGGAAACTATCACGTGAGTCGTACCGGTCATCCAATAAATGACGTAATACAATATAACTCACAATATAACCGTTTAGCGTCCGTAAGTGATATCTACTGAGGCTAACAGTAGCGCAATGACTTACCATAGAATGTTGTTGGATGAATGGCCTGAAGCAATAAATATTGTTTGTTTCGTTTATTTATTAATTGATGATGTGATAAGCTCTATTTTTATACATGAGTGTAAATGTTACAAAGGAAGAAAAGTACATTAAAAATTATCGATCGTTGCACATCTCAGAGATCTTTTTAGTTAATGTATTGTTTTATGAATTCTAGGTAATTGTTTGGCTGAAGTTTGAAGCAGGCTTGCCAAATTGAAATTTCAGAAGCCAGGAATTTTTTTATAAAAAAACAGGAGTTTACCAGAAGATTTTCTTTTATGAACTGGGAGAAAAATCAGAAGATCTTGTTATTAGAAGTTAAAGAAGCATTTGGTAATTTTTCTCATGGAAAATTCGAATTTTCGCCAAGGGGGAAAAGCAAGGGGGAAAAAGCAGATTTTGGCGTCCAAAATCTTTCAAAATCTTCAAAATCTTTCAAAATCTTTCAAAATCTCTCAAAATCTTTCAAAATCTTTCAAAATCTTTCAAAATCTCTCAAAATCTTTCAAAATCTTTCAAAATCTTTCAAAATCGCCGAAAACAGTGCAGGAAGTGGTTAGCTTGGTCCGAGATCTTTTCAGTACTTTATTCCCTTAACTTAAAGGAGAAGCTTCTGGATGAAATAA